TAACAAACATTTAATGCCATTAAGACTTGACTGACGAGACGTTTCGATTGTTTTGTCGTTTCTGTCGTGTGGTGTCGAAGAAAGAATCGAAAGGTCATGTCGTTTCTCGTCGTCTACTCTCCGAAAAATGAGGAGACTATTTGTATACGGTCGGAATCGAGCTCGCCTACGACATGGCAAGTTAGGCTCGGAACATGACAACCAAAGACTGAAGATCGTCCCTGAGTCCCACCGAGCTAGAACCCGGGGTCAGAACGCCTGTCTTCGAGAACATTGAGTCCGTAATCCCGGAGTCGGCCTTAGCCCCGATCGACCTCGAAGAAATATTGTTAGCATAACCAACAGAAGATTAAAATATCCGTGACCGGTCGGGTATTACGGCGGGAATCAGTAAGAAACTGGCAATCAGCTAATCAAGGGACCTTTTACCTTTTATAGAATTGTACCTAAAGTAGGACTCCTCCACTATATAAAGGGTGGTCTGATAATTCATTTAACACATTGTAACACGCATCCCAAAGCAATACATTGTTATTATTTCTCTTTAAGCTCTTGTTCTTCTGTATCCTGACATTGATTGAAGCGTACCTGGCTCGAGGGTGGCTAACCTTTCAAGGCTGATACTATTCAATTCGTGTGGTTTGCATTTACTTTGTCATTATTTATTTCAATTACGATCTAATTTATCATTTTGTATCAAGTTAGTCCATGTATCCTTAAAACCACTTATAAATTCAATTATTACCCGATTTTGAGGGTAAACACATAGTTTAATTTCTCAAACACAAAATAATACTTGATTCATAAAACATTTGTTTCGATAAGTTCTGTTGCAACTGCATCATTATTTTCAAACTTATTATTGGAAAATTAATTAATAACGATACTAAAATACGTTAAAATGAAAGCTAGAGTACTTGGTTTAACCTTATGAAGCAGTTTCAAAATACATCCATTTGACCAAAATGCATATGCCTAAGTTAACTTCTCTAATCAAATCTATATTTTTTACAAAACCAGGTAAGCAATTTGTATTGAATATTAAAGTCGTTTTACGAAAAAAAAAAAACATAACATAGAGATGAATGAACCAAATATATTCTCACCTCAACTATCTAATATTAGTAAATTCCTATATTATGAACACTTTCGAAATTGAAGACTATGAAGGAATTTCAAAAAGATAAGTAGATTAGAAATGAAGTCAAATCTACTACCTTTTCCTCTAGCACCAAACTTCTAAAAAAAACAATTGTATGCTTCAATCGCACCTTAATAACAACAACAAAACAAAAAATCAGAGGGAGTCATTCTCGGTGACGAAAGAATACCATAAAATCAAAGAATAAGAGAATATCATATTACTCATGGTGCGAATCGATACTTAAAGATATTTTTTTGTGAGTTTAAAGTCATAAAAAGAAGCAACGAAGAGAGACATAAAATATCAAGTCACATGTTGCATGCACAAAGCACAAATTGATGCAAGGATCTATCCCATCGTTTTTTGGCATTGCCACTTGCAATTTTCTCACTACCTAAGCTGCTCTCTTTATTTTTTTCTACTCAAGAAATAATGTATAATGTCTTGTATTATTTTATAAATTAAATTCAATCCCACCTGAAAACTTCGTATGTAGGGAGAGTTAGGGGAACATGTATTCCTGTACTTCCATCTACAATGCTCTAATTTCTCACCTTTTTTATCCTAACCAATATCACGTTTGATAAAGGGCATGGATTAATTTTAAATAATTGATTTGAAAAGTTTCTCTTTACTTAAGGTTGTGTCCTTTCATAATTTAACGATTTTTTTAGAATATACAAATGTAGTTTAATATTAACTTTAAACAACTTATTTGAAAAGTATCTTTTACTTATAATTGTGTCTTTTCATAATTTAATTAAATATTTAGAATTAAACTTGAAAGTGAAGTTATTTATTTATTTATCTATTTCATAAATGTATTTTGATAATTTAACGTTTGGAGTTGGGTCTCAGAATCATCTAATTCTTTTTATAGCAACGAAGGGTCATGTTGGTTAGTCTATTGGTTTATTTTGATTTATTAATGTATCTTAAATATTGAGTAGGAGGCCGGTAATTTTTATTTTGGTGAAGGGTAAAATGGTTAGTAAATTTTGAAGAATATTTTTGTAATTCAACTTTTAACCTAAGGCCTTCATTATATAATGTAGATATAAAACTATCCTTTTGACCTAAAAAATTGATATAACGCAATAGAACTATCATCTTTTGGAAGAGATGTAATTAGAACTAGGAAATAATAACTTGGAATATCAGAAGAATGTATTCCTTAGGTTCGATGGATATTGTATTACACAGATTATGAATATTAAAACAACTGCAGGCAGATTTTGACAGAAATTGTGAATGGCTAGGACGCTGGTACATTCAATATAGTGAGGGAGTTTATTCACAACAGGCAGACTTAACATAAGAATATCAAATTGGCCAACAATAGCCTTCCGAAATTGTAATACTGGCAGTTCACATAATTGCTTTTTAGTCACTAATCTTAAGGGACTTTTGGTTCACACACTAATTAGCAGATTTTATAATATAAGTATATATTATTCGTATACGATAAATGATAACTGATTTTTTTTTTTTGCAGTGAATAACAAGGCAAATATTGTTAGGCAGTGAGTGACAATATAGAAATTGTCATGCAACATTTTACCCGTGTAAAATAATATACTGTATAAATTTATGCATGGATTATGCTTGTATAATGAGGCTGGGAAGCGGGAAACCTGCAAGTAGTTCATGTTTTAGTAAGAACTAAGAAGACATTCATCGCAGTACTTAATCGGAAGGTTAGAATTAGATTCAAATAGAAGAGCGTAGAGGTGTAAAGCAAGTGTTTTTGTCTTCTCTCTTTTATACTCTAAACAGTTATAGTTTTAAAAATCTATATTCAATTAATGTACGCAACTAAGAAAAGCTTAAAAGGATATAAATTTGATAATAAATTCCTAAAAGATTCTCTATTTATGTTTTAAATAAATTTTTAAATTATAATATAGAAAATATTTGTTAATAGAAATCAAACTAAAAAGTCTACATGCAAAATTAATAGAGAATAAAAAATACTAAAAATTAACTATATATGTACGTAATATTAAAATAACAATCATAAATATAACATTGTGACTACATTACTTTATTTATACTTTGAATTTACTTAATTTACAATTTATTAAAAATACTTATAACTTAACTGCATTAGGTGAAAAAAATAAAATATGGATAAAATGATTTTCAGCGATGAGGAAACAAATTACAATTTGTAAGTTTCCATACTTGCCTAAAAAAGTAGTAACTAATTTTGCAAGCTTAGGAAACTACCATAATGCAGCTTTTTCCATATAAGATGGGAAAAGGAACAATATGCCTATGAATATATATTGCGCCAACTTAGTTTATGCACTCATTACCTTTCTTTCATACATAATAAAGATTAGGGTTACTACTTCTTGATTGATACCACCACCTATGTTTTCTATAGAATTGCTCCTTGATTCCTAATTTCTTTCAAGATATGTTGATCAACACTTGAGTTTCTTTTTTTGCTTTTGTGAAACTAAATATTGTCCGTAGAAATTTACGAGTACAAAGGAGTTTTGACTTGTGGTTTAATTGGAAGCAGATCATTAGATTGATACTTATAGAATAATATACAAGTAGTTGTACAGTGCTATGTTATGTTCCCGGTTTTAATTTCCTCTTTGTTGGTGAGAATGAGAAGTGAAGCAGTGATAATATTATAATTATGTACACTTGTAAATGACTTGATCTCTAGGATTTAACAAATTCATAAGTTTAGTTAGTAGTTCAGTCCATATATTATTTAGTGCAGTCTTGTTGTTGATGATATATGCTTTAGAGAGTAATAATATTCTTGAAACAAACCTTACAGGGGAAATACTTGGGAAAAACACCCGAGGAACGTAACCTTGCATATTCTTGAGCTATAATTTCTCATATCCTTAATTTTCGCATAATTTCTGCACCAAAATTCATACTTCTATCTTATTATCTGAAAAATCTGTAGTGTTAGTTTTGCAAAATAATAATAGATTTTTTTTTTGCAGCAAATAATAATGCAAAGATTGTCAATGCAACAAGCTCAGCCACAATTTTGAAATTGTCATGCAGGGATTGCAATATCCAGGAAGAATCAGTCTTTAAGGATTTTTAGACGTTTTTAGGTTATTTTATCCAGGTGTGAGTGATATAAAAATATTATGTTTTGCATTCCATCGGCATAAATTAATATATAGAATTCGCATGAGTTACACTAATATTAATAATTTGAAGCTTCATTTTAGAAACCAAATATGTGGAGTACCAATTATACAGAATTTTTTCATCAACAACAACAATAAATCCAGTGAAATCTCACAAGTGGGGTCTAGAGAGGGTAGTGTGTACGCAGATCTTACCCCTAACTTATGAAGGTAAAGAGACTTTTATAAAAATAATTTTTTTTTTTAAATTATATAAAGTTTGCACTAGTAATGCAAGAGTTATATGTTAAACAATTAAACCTGTATCACGTAAAGAATTTTTTGCCAAAATCTTTTTTCTCACCACAAGCCAAATAAGCTTATAGAATACATTTCATAACTAAAACAAGTTATAATGGGATTTATTATACTAGAATTAGTTATCTTGTGATTATTTTTTATTTACTGTTTGGTATGCTTTATTAATAGTGAAATTTTTTATTTTATTGTTTAACGTGAGATAACTTATTTCGGAATTACTATTCAATCATTTGTAGCTATAAATTATTTTGATACTATTTTTAATCTTGGAATAACTTATCCCAAAATTAATAACCAAACAAACCATCAAAATTTCTATCCACCATTATTTTTTCTTACGCATAGTATACCACACGACCCTGAGTACTTTTATGGTTTTGGACCATGTGATCATGCTTACGAATTTATTGAATTTAATATATGTCGTACACAGATCTAATAATCCAGATCTTAGGACCGCACTGATCCACCAAAAATGCTCCTTTTCGTAAACGGGAAAGTGGAAAATATTTTCTCGAGAAACAGTGAATCATAGCTCCTGAGTCCTGACGACACCTTACTCCAGCCAATTACTACAAATGAAGTGAATTCAACAACCGACTGCCACCGTCAGCAGCTGCTCCGCCACCGCCTAGCTCCGGCAAACAATGAGATCCAGACCACCGCTGACTCGCAGGAGATCACCTACTATTCATTATGCCCCTGACACTCCCCTCTATCATACTACTGGTACTTTTTTCAACCCTTTTTTCAATTTATCTATCTGGGTTTTTGTTTTTGTTGCATTTTTGGTCTTCTTTTCTATCTGGGTTTTGCTTGATAGAGTTTGTGCTGGGAAAGGTGGGAGCTTTTACATATTTGGAGCTTTTAATCAAATGGACTGGAAATGGGCATATACTATGTGTCTGTGTTATAGGTGCTTGCGGGATTTGACTAAGGAAGGGGTTAGAATATCTGTTGAAAGACTATTAATTAGGAGAGAGAAAAAAATCCATTGCCCACAGAGGAAGTGATATCAGAGGAGATGAATGTCTAGAACTCTTTTACTTCTTCAATAAGACCTGTTAGTCTTTGACATAGTTGTCATATCATGATAAGTATCACGTATTAAACTGGCCGTTATTTGAATCTCACACTGTGTTGTAAATCATATCTTTAGATTCAAAACATACTTTAAAACATAGAATTTGTGAATAACTAACAAGTATTTATGGTTAAAAGTTTGAAGGTTACATTTACGAATTTGGCTTCATTTGGTCTTGACATCCCTCTATCCTGTGGATAATGGGTCTGCCCCTCTACGCTTCTTCACTTAAATGCCAGACTTTTGTCTACATCAAGGTTTGAACTCTTGACGAGCACCTAATCGGTTCATCACACTATGTGCTCTTACTGTTAGACCAACGCATCAGGGGCCAAAATAAGTACACTTGTTGTCTTGCGTAGGTACACTTGACCAGCAACACAATTTCCGTCAACTTTTTTATTTATTTATTAAATGAAACTACTAGGCTTAAATTTATTATCAACCAAATAATAGAAATAGATAAACTTGTACAATATAAGCTTATATGTTCATGATGTAGCCAATAGTGATGATTTTCGGAAGTGTAAGCGTATATAATTGACGAAGCAGCTGAAAGAAGTGCTTGTGCTGGAAATCATGTCCTATGAATTGATGGACTTCAACTTCCACATTGTGTGGACTCTTGTGGTGTTGATCCGTAGTGTAGCTCGGGCGGAATTTTAGGTCTTGAAAAATCTTGGCAAGGGTTTGTATTATGGTTGTGGATGTATTTTTAAACAAAGGAAACAAATGGAACTTAGATTCAAATTCCATCTCACCAAAATCAACAAGCATAAATCATAACAAGTTCATTAGTACAATTGTTTTAGCAGTAATAGTTCTAAGATAATGGGATGAGGAAACAACAGTGCTTTTGACAGGAAACAGAGCAATTTGATGTGCATCTAGTTGACCAATTTCCATCCCTTTGTCAGCCTTTTTATATGCTTCTTCAACTTTTAGTTCTAAGTAAATTTTGTTAATTATTCTTTTCCTTCCAGTCTTGTATGCTTCTACATATGCATGCTTATACACATAATGATGCATTATTGGACTTCTGCATTACCTGTAGTTATATGCTTTTTAAAA